AGGTATGGGGCAGAGAGGTAAACAGCTAAGTCCCTTCAGTTCATCATCATTCAGAAAAATATATGTTAGGTGCAGAAAGGAGAAAAAAAACAGGAGCAGTGAGTAGAGACAAAAAAAGAGGAGCTGGTAGCCCTGGGGCATCCCTGTTGAACCCTTCCCCTAGAAACTATTTCTGCATTGTTCTTTACAGTCTATTCTCCATGGCTTTATGTTCACTTTTGTTATAATCCTTTCCATAACAAAATCTAGATTATAAAATTCTTTAAAATAAAAGAAAAAAATATGAACGAGAGTCTAAGTAAAAATAAGACTCAAATGAATTTCAGGATTCTGGTGACATGGATTTATGAAACATCTACATATACTTTCTAAGTTATATGTATGCATAAATGTGCATGTTTGCAACTACACGACAATCTCATCATCAGATGGCTCATTATGAGAGCACTTGCTAATATAAGATTGGTATACTTCGACTCAACCATGTTAAACCCCATACTCTTGTTATATAATCTCTCTTCATATCATTTAAAATATTTACTTCCTAATGCCTGTAAATTGCATTTTATCTGTACAACAGTCCCAAATTAGGAAATGTTAATAAAGTCTTTGTTATAAAATGAGTACAAGTGGACAAACACAAATGTCAAAGCAGAATCTTATCAACCCTCTGTATCAGATTATGAAATTTTGGATTTCCCAGTCCTCCTACCAGCATTTAGCTTTAATCTGTTACTTGAAGCTCCCTTTGCACCCTAGGCTGCATCTCTGCCCACTTTTAATAATAATCCTATTTTTTCCAGGTCACATCTATATTTTCCTCTTGCACCACATAGTCCTGAAAGGTAGAAAGCAGAAAGAACCTGCTTCAGGTCCTTAGTAATGAAGCCATTTGTGATTCCTTTGAAAGTGTAGTTTCTGCATGTGTCAAATTCCTATGAGAAATTCCTGTGAAGAATTTAGCAGCTGAATTAAACAAAAAGCAACAAACATATGTAGAAGGTGCCAGACAACAGTTATAGTGGCTGACTATACTTAAAGGGAAGTACAATATCTAAATGTTTTCATAAAAGGAGAATATTAATTGAAGGGGAACTCTTTATACCATCTATCTATACACATAAAGGTATGTACGTGCTAGGTATTTATCATAAATCACCTGCATCACACAGAGACTACAGGTATTTGTATAGTCTCAAAACATTACCAAGAAAAAGAACTACTGTATTTCCTTGTAGGTGTGTAAGTTTACTAGTGTTTGTTTAGGGAGACGCTTCAATAATTGTTATTGAGTCAGATTACATGGCGCACGGTCTCAAGGTGTAGGCACTGGTCTGAATAAGTACAATACAACCCTGCTTATCCAAAGGTTTCAGGAGACATTTGACACCTTCAGATAAACAGCATTTTGTTTGATAGGATATTTAAGTCAGTTCTGTATATGCCCCAGAATCCTCACACAAACATACCATAGAGTGTTGCTGATGTTTCTGCCAGCTTTCATGACTCACCAGACAGCACTGAAAATCCTGGGAAACAAGCTTACCTTCTGTTAACTGGGGTTTGATTCATTGGGATTGCACACAAATAATGCATGGGCTGAGGTGATCAATAAGGAAATAGTTCTAGTGAAAGTTCTGGGGATACATTGTTAGTTTTTATATTGCACCAACAATGCAGTCCCACAGCACTTCCATTGCCTCTACCACAGCTCAGGGCCTGTAGCAACAGAGGGGGGCTCCTGTTTACTCCCTATATGAGGATTTTAGTGGTTTACCTGATGCAGTCTGAACTGCAATTCCCAGCACACTTATGTAAGGGATACAGCTCAATGCTCTGAAAAAAGTTATACTTATCATTCTATTAGACTGGGGGTGAGGAGGTGGGCAAAGAGATAATTCTCTGATTTTGCTAATAATGACTTATGCCAGCAGGGTATTATTACTCTGAGTAAGGTTTGTTATTCAGTTACTGCCACCATTCATATATGTTACAGTAATAAAATGCATGAGTAACTAAACATAAGTGATGTGTAACTCAACTTCCATCAGCTGTAAATTGTAGCCATCCTATGGGAAAATGGCAGGAATTTTCAGTTTCCCCCCATGAGAATTCCATATATCACAGTTGTCATCTTGGATTCCCTTTGTCTAAGATAAGCTACATGGCAATTTCAAAAGTTTAAACTGCTGCTGAAGCATTTTAAATCTAAAACAAAGGACCCAGTTTTGCCGTGAGATGTGGGCACAATTCCTACTCATATCAGTCAAAACTTTCTAATGAGTGCTTGTGGATTCCAACTGACACTCACAAAAATCACGTGTAGGAGAGCTGGCTAAAGTACAGCCTGCACACTTCCACAAACACCCTAATTTTTAATATGGACGTTCACTCCAGGGAGACAACAGGTCACAGTATACAAGGGAGCCAAGTGGGACCTGTAGTGTCTACAGACTGCACTATTGTCCTGAAGATGGAGATATGCAATTTGCTCTATTTTATGTGTGTTACTTACAGCCAAATTACAAACATCCCTCAACTGGGAACAACATGAACACCCCGGGCTTGAATGTCCACTGTTTCACACCTTGTGTACATCACTTTTAAGTGACCATAAAAAGGGTATAATATGCTACCAAATTACAACAGTAGCATTTTATACCCAGTTGCACAGGTGCAAGGCCTCATCTAGACCAGAGTACCTGATTCTGTTGTAACTCAAGTTCATCAATTTACCTATTAGCCTAAGTTCACTAACAAAACTTTAAATGCTTTGTCTAGCTGCCCCAAGCTTTGGAATACACTGAGAGATCGGGACCAGAAATAAGCATTTGTATCTTAGAGCACAGGTTTTTGGAGCATCTAGATTAACTTTTACAACTGTCTAGGCAAGGTGGGTGAGGTAATATCTTTTACTCGACCAGCTTCTGTGGTGAAAGATACAAGCTTTTGAGCTACACAGAGCTCTTCTTCAGGTAGAGCTCTGTGTAGCTCAAAAACTTGTCTCTTTCACCAACAGAAGTGGTCCAGTAAAAGATATTACCTCACTCATCTTCTCTCTCTAATGTCCCAGGACTACCATGGCTACACCACCACTGCACTTTACAATTCTATTAGTTAATTCAAATTAGCAGGCAATCAATTAACTTACAAGATCAAGACTGTAGCTTGAATAAATCATTAATAGATACACAATTGGGAGGCAGTGGGTAATCAGGCCCTAGACTCTGGAACCTGTAAATTAATATTTCTAAAATATGTCCTTGCACCATGGCAGCTAATTTGACTTTATGCATGCACAAGATTGTTGTTTTTAACTGGCTTTGATGTTTCCTAATGGCTACAACCATCACTACTATAACTTCCTAAAAACGTATTCCAAACTCACCCCAATGGTATCTGAGCACCTTGCAAAACTTATATAAAGACAACAAATACTTCCTAAAAGGAAAATAATTACAAAATTCCCATTTGCCAGAAAAGTTCAAAAACTGAGTTAGTCTAGTCTCTGATTCCATATTTTATATTCTTGGGTGGGCATCGCATACATTTTGGTCCAACAGAACTAGTAGCTCTATCTAACAATGCAATAATAAACTCTAGTAACTTTACCTTCTAGTCTCTGCACTGACTCTGGCTATGCATAATATTGTTAAATGATCTGTAGTTATTAAAAGTTCATATTTTATCAATTGAAGAAACCCTGAAAAATCGGTTTCATTTACCTACAGTATTGAATTACCAACATCATGACTAAGGCCCTACTTAACTTGTGATATTGCAGACATTGGGGATTCTGCAATATAAGGTTTCCACCGCAATTTTGTCAGGCTGGCAGCTGAGCTGACAGCAGGAGCCTACCCATGCGCGGGGCTGACAGTGGAACCCGTCCATCAGATGGGCGCTGACAGTGGGAGCCCTGGCCCTCAGCCCCGTGCACGGCTGACAGCAGGAGCCCCGTCCATCAGCCAGGTGGCTGACACTGGGAGCTTCCACTGTCAATCCCACGCACGGCTGACAGAGGGAGCGCATTTTCCAAATTACTGCAAATAATATAGGCCCATTATTACTCTTCTGCAATTTCCCATGTCTTGTCCGCGACTCAACCGCAATTATATGACAATCATCCCACAATTCAAGTAGTGCCTTAATCATGACCTTTCACCTCCTTCCTCTGTCAGAAGAGCCTACCAACTTGTCAAAGCAGATACAATACAGAAAATTCTCTAATTTAATGTTATAATAATAAAAATACATTAAGGTGAAGATACATTAACTGCATTAGAATTTTCCACAGCACTAATAAGCACTGAACTCCAGTGGGAGTTGTAGTCAGGACAAACATGCAGAATTGATTTCTAAAGAAAGAGAAATAAATGGAGCTCCAGAGGAAGCAAACTGCACTGAAGCACCAAGTTTCCTCTACATGAAAAAGGCTAATTTCACCTCTGTGCTAAACATCTCACATCAGCCTTGGATTCACTTGTTTTGTTATAGTTCAAACTGAACATGTTACTTTTGCAGAAGATAACGTAAAAATAAAAAGTACACACTGCAAATTCCTGGAAGAAAACAAATTTAATTTTCTTGCCTTTTACCACATTGCTTCATTGTCAAAAGGAACTTCTTAAACGAAGGCTCATGAAATGGAAAACTGTGCCTCTGCATTATCAAATGTCCCTCCATGGAAAAATAAAAATACTTGCTTCTTTCAGTGGTACACTAGTTTCCTTTGCTAGAGAAAGACAAAATTATATTTTTGTTGCTTTTTAAATTAAAGAAAGTCTAAACTGATCTTTCAGGAGCTTGTTTGTAAGGTTGTTTGACAATGGTTTGGAAAACAGAGCCGAGCAATTTTTGCTCAATTCAAAAACTCATTTTCCCAGAGAAATCAGTTTTACAAGTATGGCCTGCTCTTGCTGAAAATATGGTTTGGTTTGGTGCCAGACGTTTCTGGGAATAAAAGTGTTTTTAATGTATTTGGAAGAAAGAGACACTTAATTAAAAAAGGAAACTTTAAAGGTAACTCTGCTGAGCACCACATGAGCTTGATGCTAGTCTAAACTGAAGCTAGCATTGGGAGAAAACAGAGGAAATGAAAAAGAATAAGGAAAAACTGAGGGTGGAGTTTATCGTTTTTAATGTCAAAGTCAATTTAAGTGCTAAATAGAAACAATGTCTCTAGAGTGAGAATATAAACAAATGCTATTAGCATAGAGATCTAACAACAAAACTCTTACAGTCTGACAGGAGACAAGAGAACATCTGGTCAGTCCTGTTCTATCTCAGTCACAGATAAAATATATAGTTATAGTATGCTATATAGTTCAGAGTACCTGTATATATCCCATCATCCTGAAGGGACACACTTTTTAATGGTACATCTAAGCAGCTCAACTATGCTTTTAGTTCTTTCCATCAAGAAACAAGCTAAAAACTCAGAGCAGGGTTGACAAAAATCATACATGAATACCAGAATTCCATTAAGCAGCAATCCCACAATGAAGAAAATCTATAAAAGAACTGGAAAAAGCTGAGGACATTTATACCAAAATATAAATTAATCCTCCTGCCTCACCACTGGCACATTATATTGGAAGAGAATGTTCATGGCAGAAGAGCATACCAGGCAATAAATAGATTTTGTGGGTTTTTAAAGACTGAGCAAAAATGAGATGCTCAAAACATACAACTCCAAAACCACCAACATTACTCGTTATACAAGACTAAAAGATCCAAACCACAAAATGGAAAGTGGTGGGGTTATTTTGGCTTGCAAAGGTTTGAAAATTCTGTGCCAACACAGACACAATGACTCACTTCAGAGATAGGTTCAAAGCACAAATAATTATCAGAGAGGGGACTAACAGGTGTGTGAAAGTGGCATGATGTGATGGGGAATCGTAATGTTAAAAAATTCCTATTTGTTTGTGAGGAAGGATGAGGTAATTTATCTCAGCTGTGGCTGACATACTTTTTTTGGATATTTGAAGTTCTACAGATCCTGTTGCTCTGCACTTTGAGAATTTCTCACATGTACTCTGCTATAGGTTAATCTTTCAAATTCTTCATGTCCCAAAACTGGGGTGAATAGAGGCCTGGGTGGCTAGTAGATGTAATAAGAAATCTAGAATATATAGATATCTTTGATCTATGAAGCCTCAGAGGGCAAGATCAGAGAGAATGCGAGAAGGAGGGGTGTAGACTGATGGCTTCTAAAGAGTCTTTTTTTGGCTCAGCAGCATTCTACAGAATAATTGTCCATGTCTGGGAAGTATACATTCAAAACCCTGCACTTTGTCTGTGAGAGTCTAAACCCAGGGACAATTGGTACAGATCTATTTCATTCTTATGTTACAACACTCCCTACAATGGTGGCAATTAGAGCTAACAAAACTGGAAAATGATGTAATTTGTTTATTCACAGTCTGAGAATAGTGAAATTAGTTGTTAATTTATTTGTAGTCTCTTGCCAATGTCAACTCTGATGCTGAAGGTTCAACCCAAGAAAGACAAGGCAGGTTCCATGCTACTCAATAGGTCCAGCAAAGATTACAATTGTCAAGGGATTTTTGTTTGTTTCTTTTTAAATAAAAGTTTAGTCTAAAATTTTCTACCTCTGTACTTGAAGTTAATCAAAGAGCTCTGTACCCAAAACTTAGTCTGAATTCCACTATGCTAAATAAATGTGGTAATCAGCAGCCAGTGGTAGCTGATAGCTCATGAGCAATATTCCACATGCAGAGCACCGCTACTAAGCACTATGAGCCATGACACCTAATAAAATGTATCACGTAATGTCCATGCATCTCCAATAAGAACCATCTTGATTCAGGCTATGGGGGCAAACGGTTTGGGGAGGGAATACAGGAGCTAACATGAGAAAGACTGAAGATGGGTCTGGCGATAAGGAAAAAAAGATAAAATTGCCAAAGTTATTCAACTTTACAGGAAATATATCAGAAAGAGGAAACATTTCTTTTTTTCTCTATCAAGTGTCTGCTGTATTGTAGCCACCATGCTATCTGTTCCTTCATGCTTTTAGCCCAACTGGTATTCAGAAAGAAATTCTTTCAGGTTAAGCAGTGTGATAGATTGATATACAACTCATTATATCATTATGTTCAAGCAGAGGAAAATCATATTTGACTTGACTAACTCTGACTTGTCATCTTGTTTTGCTCTCGCAAAGGTGTATTAGACCAACAGAAAAAAAATTCCAGGTCGATAAACTTGGACAGTAGATGCTCCAAAGATCATGTACTTCAGAAGAAATATCAATCTTTCCTAATTATTTTTGCCAATGACATCAATATTGTGTGTAAAAACAGAACCTCTTCTTCCCACACGGGCAAGCCCAGTGAGATGTGGAGCTTTTGCTAAGTCACATGGACTGGAGATTAGAGGATCCTGGTGATCACAATGTGAAAATGCTCAAGATTAAGAAAAAAAGCAGATAATCTGATCAAGTTACAAAGGACAAGTAGGACAGTTAACACTGAGATGTAAATTACTAAAGCAAGAACCAATGAAGAGTCAGATCAAACTACAATAGTTACATTAATTTTTTTCCATGAAGATTATGAGAAAAGTGTATAAGCGGCTTTTTAAATCCCTAGTTGAACACTGTAGTCTATTATTTTCTTTGAAATATTTTTGACTGCAAATTCTCATTTTTGTATTGCTGAGTCTGATCAGCAGCATGCCAGTGGTCAGCTGTAATTCTGCTTTTCTAAACACAAACACCACATTTGACAAATTTACAATAATTTTTGTAGAAATTTAAGTAAAACTTGAAGAGTCATCTTTGAATTAAGCAGATAGTTATCTACTTGTCAAATTGGAAGCTTGACTAGGAATTTCCCGCTTGGAACATAGATAAGAAATGACAATTTCGTAACTCAACAATTCAAGTAAAGTCAGAATTAAATACAGCATCCATGAATTGATTTGTTTTTATCATGAGGGTTTTTTCCTTGTCATACCAGGTGATACACATGCCTGTTACTTCCCTAATCTATTGTACTGTATGTACTACAGCCGAAAATAAGGGAAAAGTCAGACACCTAGTCAAAATGATTTAGAAAACAGCTTATCATTTACAAAGGACTATGGATTAAGAATAATTTAAAAAAATAAAAACAATCTATTTTCCCTAGTGATGTAATAAAGATCATCATTCTGTTTCCTAATCGGTGACTTCAGGTAACAAATACTTAATTTATATTCCTTTCAGTCTATGGTTCATATGCCATTTTTGTATTCCAATCTGGCTCTGCCTTTTATTTCCTTCCATTCTCCTTTCCTTGGTTAGATTAAAGAGGTAGGGTGTTAATGGGGGACTTGATATAGATTGAAGATCTATTTTATCCCCCCGGAGACCAGCCTGATTTGAACAAATTGAAGAGAGTGAAGCAGCCCCTTTGTGTCCTTGGAAAGCCTTTTCCATTTCAGCATTTCCAGCTGGCAGGCATGGTCCCCTTTGTTCACTGAGAGAACAAGAAAAAAGGTGCCTGTACAAGAAGGTTGTGAATAATTTCGTATAGCATCATGGAGACTGCAAAAGCTCCTTTCCACTCTCCTTTATGGTTGGTGAGCATGTGTACGTGAGGTGGATCCAGTGAGGGAGTGCAGAGAACTGGTGCTTGAGGCTCGAACTGGGCGAGAAACAAGCTGTTGTGTGCCAGTGCCCAGTTCTGCTGTTGCCACTTCCTCGTTACCCTCTTCCTTGTGGGCACTGTTTTGTGCTGGACACTCAAAATGCACACAGTGAAACACCTGGGAAAAAAAATGAAGAGATAAGCAAAACAATTAATAGAAGCGAAAGTGTGAACAGAACTAAACAACACCTTCAGTGAAGCATGCAGGCAACGTGCCAGTGCCAAAGGGCTGATCCAAGCTAGAATGTTTCATCGTGGGCTTAACAGCCTGTGTTCAGAACCCACAACTGTTAGGGTTGAAACAAATGCGAGTAACAGCCATGTAGGGGGAGAAGGCCTTAGCCGATAAGCCTTTATGTCTGGTAGCCTTTAGTTTGAGGTGCTGAGCCTGAATTCAGTCAGATAGATAGTTCTGAGGCATATGGGGACATTTTGGTGATTTGGAAAAATCCTTTAGTTTGCAAAGCAGCATATCTATAATCTAAAAGCTATCAAATGACAATGAAAATGACTTAATTAAACTCCAGAAAGGCTGAACATCCACATTATCTACAAATTAAAGTGACACTGTAATGCAGATGATGTTATCTCATGACTGCCCTCTACTGTATTCAGCAACACCTCAGCAGATGCAATATTTTGCAGTACACAGAAATACAGGATTTGCCAGGTCCAAGGAGACCATTGCTTCATCAAATGCAGAATTCTGCTTCAAGTAGCAGCCAACAATTGATGTTTCAAGATGTGATCATTGTGCAAGCAGTACATAGGGGAACTCCTTCCAGACTCTGCAGGTGATTATCTTAGGCCCTAAAACAGGAAGATTTCCCTTTCAACATTTTTCACCATATTTCCTAGGTTAGTATAGCTGCTTATAGAACACCTGTTCATGTAGCTATTCAGTGGGTCCTTATAAATGCCACTAAACTGTTTGCTTCAATGATTTTTCCATGACAGTCAATTGCACAGGTTTACCACCAACATTGTAAATAAATCTTTCCTTCTATTAATTTTAAATTTGCTGTCAATCAATTTCATTGAGTGTCCTCTTGTTCTTCTGTCATGGCACTAGCTGAAGAGGGATGCCTGCTTAGTTTTTACTAATCCATTCATTATTTTGTATGCTATCATGCTTCTTCTTATTCTCCTCTTAAACAGTCCAAAACATTTAAATCTCATCTCATAGCCACATAAACCCACTGAAACCTCTTCAAATCTTAGCTGTCCTTTCCTAGGCCTTTTAAGTTCAGCAACATCCTTTTTGAGGTCAGATGACCAAAACCAAACAAAGCACACAAAGTGTAGACAGATCATTGATTTATACAAGACCAGTATAATATTATCTATTATTTTCTACCTTGTCTTTAATACAATTTAGAATCCTATTAGTCTTTTTCACTGTGACTGCACATTGAGCAGACATCTTCATTGAACTGTCTACAGTAACCCCTAGATCTTTTTCCTGAGAGTTGCTAGCTAATTTAGAACCCAACAGCGTGTATGAAACCAAGAGAGCTTTATTCACAGTCATGTTCTCTGTAGCTCTCTTATTATAATTTCTTGTGTCTTTCTTGGTGCCAGAATTCTTGCAATTTTTTTTTGTCGTCTGCTCTGTTATTTTCTCTCCATTTCTAGGTGTGATATATATAATGTTAGCTTCTTTTGTAAACTCATCTCTGCATTTGCAATTGCGTTGCTGTGCTGTCTTTCATTAAATAGATTTCTCAAAGACTGTGATTACTTGCTAGGCTTTAAAGTTTTGAAGGTAACAGCCACTGTCATTTTTCTAGCTTCCATTACAAGTATCAGGATTTAAGGGAATGGACTATAGCTGATCAATGCATCTTTATAGTACACTGCTTTCCTAGCAAGGTGGTATGGTCAAAATGGGTAGGGCACAGGTCTGGAAATCGAGACACTCCATGCTCCCACAATGTCCAATGCAAATAGAGTTTCTCATTTAAAATTTCATCTTATATTTATATAGTGATGCATCTTTTTATACAGTAGCTATTACTAACCATTAGCTGATATCAATCTATAAAATCAGAAAAACTTGTCTCCTAAATTATACCTTTCATTGTTACCATTTCTTTTTCATACCAGGCTGTAATGTTCACCTCAGAAGCTGCCACATTGACACTACTGTGGACTCAAGAGGTGTTTTATTATTGTTTCACTTTAACATATATAGAGCAACACTGCTGAAGAGGGGGGAGGATTCAGAAGAACAGTCCTGGATGTATCAATTCCACTCAGTATTTGATTTATATATGTAACCACAGATAAAGTAAAAACAAACAATGATGCATGTGCTTCTTTATAAAAGCAGGAACCAAGAACTCAGTATTATCCTCTAATCTGAGGATTTCTTGTGCTTCTCTTGGGAAATTTGATGAAGTTCTGGCATCCAAATAAGGAGAGCCAAACTCCCCTACATTTGTTTGAGGACAAGAGGCCTCTTCCAGCAGACATGGCACTGGTCTATCAGGGACATCATCCAAAACTTTCAGTCACAATAAACCAATGACAAAAAGACCTGAGGAGAATAAATGTTCTTTTTTCTTATTTATAAAAAAATAGAAAGACTGACAAGTACAAGGAAAAAAGCCAATGAAAACTTTTTGTATTGAAATATACCAAAACCCAATATTTCATCTGAAATTTATGGCTTTCAATTCTGTCAACAAATGGAAAAAAACACAGGAATGGACAGAAGAGTTTATAATAATTAAATAAAAACATTTACAAAATAGTTCAATGTCACCTACCAACTACAAAAAACACTCAACCATCCACTGCCATCCTGAGAAAAGTGTGGAAAAAACACAGATTATGCTCTAAAAGTCATAAAATCCAAGCTCTGACAGACCAAGTAGGGAAGTACATCCTAGAGTTGAGGACTCCTCATTGAGAACAGGCTGTCAGCAGCCCATTTTGTTTAAAATTACACTGTTTCAATCAAGAAGTCTACTATTTACGGGCAAATAAATCTGGTCATCTGAAAAAGAATGATACACAAGCGGCATGTGCCCAGATTAATTTCAAAGCATGTGCCCAGATTAATTTCCTATGTAACTGAGATAAAATATTCTGAAGGAATAAAATGAAAGGAGCAGAATAATTTATGGCTTGAATATAGATATGATAAAGGCAGGAAGTGAATGGTAAGAATTTTCCAAAGAGCATCTGATCTGATTGATTAAAAGGATGAGGAAGTCATGTAACAAATCAAAACAGATTTGTGAAAAGAACAGAACAGTAACAACGAGATACTGCTGTGTATCAATAATCTAAACAAACTGGGACACATTAAACAGGGGGAATAAACTGAGTAACACATTTATATACACTATGATAACAGCAGCTTAGATGTGGCATGTTATGTAAAGGAAGGAAGTAGGGACCTAATTCTTCTCTCTGTGAAGTCAATGGGAGTTTGGCCATCAGACTTCAAAGGGAAAAGAATACAATCCTTTAAGAAGAGCAGTCATTGACTTCTGAGTAATAAAAGGACATGATAAAAACAGAATAACAAATTTTGGAAGACTGTGGGAAAAGGCTGGTGAAATCGGATCAAATAAAAAAAAAGAAAAGACCACAGGAGAAATGGGAAGTTTTCAAAAATATATTAATGTATGCCTGCCATCTAGTGATAAGCACAGTAAGAGTAGAAGAAAAATGCTAACATGAATGAACATGGTGGTATAAAATAAAATCAAGACTAAAGGAAGAGAGACAAAGTCGGTGAGATATACGATGTCAAATTCAAAAGAGGATTACAAAGTGAAATTAGTGGAGAGATTAAAAATGGAGGTAGAGAATACAAGAAACTTTTAATAAGAAGTTAAGATAAATGAATGGAAGAGCAATTCTAAGTACATCAGGAACAAAAGGTCAGTGAAAAAGGTATTAGGGCCTCCAAGAGATAGCATTAGGGGAATTTGACAGAAGTAGTAAATTCTGCTAAAAATTTAATGAATTAATTGCCTTATCGTTCACAAAAGATGAGAGCCAGAAGTAGACACACGTTTCCCAGAGGAAGCAGATACAATGCTGAAGGAAATCAGGATCATGCTAAATAGGTAATTAAAACAAAATCTAACGTCCAAAGAGTAAAAAAAAAAAAAAAACAAAACTTTACAGTCACATGCTTATAAAGACCAAAGCTCCAAAGGAAATGGCAAATATTCATGTTCTTCAGACATATCTCAAATCGTTTGGAAACAGGGAAGGTAGTGGCAGATTGGAGAGAAGCTTGTGCAATACCTATAATTAAGCAGGAATCAGATTCTTTATCTTTTAAGACATCTTACTCAAAACATACAGGTGGCAGCCTGGCTTGTACCAGGCTGCAATTCAAATTAGAGTATTCTTGAGCTCATAAGAAGTTGCATATCTTTGTATTTGTGCAACATTTTTTTACTTAATGCTTACTAATACATAGCATTTTACATTTTTTAAAAACATTTTATAAGCACTAACTAGGTAATAATCCTTACACACTTACCTCACAGGTATGTAAGTATTATTTACCCACTTTACAGATGAGGAAAACAGGAAGGAAGAGAGTAACTTGCCCAAAGCCACACAACATGGAAAGGGTAAAGCTAGGATTAGAACACATGGAATGAACTCCCAGCCCCACTGAAATCAATGGCAGTTTTACCACTGACTTCCATGGGGCCAGAGTTTCATCTACCAGCTCTCAGCTCCTTTCAGGAACAAGGAATCCCAGCCTGCTCACCTGCTAGGTTAACTCCCAGGCAGTCTAACCAGTGCAGCTAGGCCCTAACAGAGCTGCCTGATTGGCCAAACCACCCAACTGCCTGAAGATATCAGCAGACATGCTCTTAAGACCCACAGCAGCAGCAAGGCACTAGCTGCTTAATGCATCCACTCACGGCTGTGATCGCTCCTTAGCCTGCTTGTTCCCATGTTCTAAACTCAGATCCGGCCCTGCTCCTGCCATGGACTCAGCCTTGCCTCACTCCAGGTAATCTGGCTCTGACCCTCAGCTCCAATTCCTGGCCTGACTCCTGCTTCAACCACTAGATCTGACTCTTGCTGCAACAACCAGTGTTTACTGCCTATTTCCCAGTCCCTAACTGTTTGATC